AGAAGGCTGGCGGTTCAAACCCACCAGCCACTCCTTGGAAGGAAGGTTGGGCAATCTACTTCCGTAGTGATACTGCCTCATACTGCCTCAGAAACCCAAGGAGGGGTCACTATGAGTCGGGTCAACTCGACAGCACATAACATAACAAGGGAGCTCAGAAAGGGAACTTGTAACCCAGACAAGAAGTGAGTGGGATCACAAAAGGCTTCCTGGAGGAAGTAACTCCCTGCACCAGTAGCTCAACAGTAATGCTGAGTCCTAAACAGACTGGAAAATATTAATGACTCCCACTTAGGGGCACATTCACATTTGTCATCTTATTTGTTGTTCCCTTGGCCAACAGCCATCCTGAGAGACCAGTATCTCCATTTTGCAAGTGAAGAAATTGAGGTTTAGAGAAGTTGGGTGACTTTCTCAGGGTCATATATGTTAGTGATGGAATCAGAACACTGTTGAAAGGAATAGGCATGTGTGTCATGAGATACAAATATGGTATTCTCCATTAATCTAACGGAAAGCTTGAAAGCAATGATTAGATCTGCCGTCCGTCCATTCAAGGAGGGCAGGCCCCTGTATCCTGCCTGACATCTCTGGCAGACAAGGTGTGGCACAGATTACTTGGATAAAGAAGTATGGGAGGTGCTCTCATACACTTGAAATCTTTATTTTTCTCAAGACTAACAGATCTGTGAAGAATGGAATTGTGATTTATATAGCTGGTTTCATGTTCTGTCATTCTTCATGTTCCATCAGGCTTCATGTTCTGTCTTACTCAAAACAGTCACCACTGGAGAGGGAGGAACTTCAGCCCCACCCCTCCCAGCTTCAGGCTTCTACCTCTGCTTCTACCCTAGTTTCTCTAAGGTGGGAGAAGTTGCTAACCTGATTGGGGAGGGTTCAGGACATTCCTTGGACCCCATTTTAGGAGTGGGCAGGTTTACTTCACCTTAAAAGTCAGTAGAGAGCGCTAAGCCCATTCACTGGGGAAAGAATAGTCTCTTCAACAAACAGTACTGGGACAACTGGACTTCGACAAATAAAAGAATTAAGTTAGATCCCTGCCTCACATCATATACAAAAATTACCTCAAAGTGGATCAGCAACCTAAATATTAGAGCTAAAACCATAAAACTCTTAGAACAAAACATGACAACTTTTATGCTATTTATATATTTACCACAATGTTGTTGTTGTTGTTGTCGTGTGCCGACAAGTTGGACCGACTCATAGCAATCCCTCCTTGGGTTTCTGAGGCAGTATCTATGGAAGTAGATTGTCCAACCTTCCTTTACCACAGTAAGATTTTTTTAAAACCAAGTATAATGTGCTTTACTTCCTCCTCCTGAGTCCATGCAATAGGCAGACCAAGGAAGAGCGTGCCTTTATAGCTTGGACACCACCTGGCTCTTCTTTTCTCTGTTTCCCAGTCCATAACTGGGTGGACAAATCAAGCCAGAGGAAGCACAAAGCTTTGTTTGTACCTTTAGCTCAACTTTGAATTCTCCAAAGCTTTCCATCTACTGGTGGATAACCAGTGATGAGCCATCTGGGGATCACTGGTTCTGGATCATCACAAGGAACCTAGACAAGCAGCCCCATCTTCTTCGAGGGCCTTTGTGGCTTAGTAGGTGGGCACTGAGGGCGTCCAAAAAAAACCTGCCATCAAGTTGATTCTGACTCATGGCAACCTCCACTGGGTTTCCAAAGCAGTAAATCTTTATAGAAGTAGATTGCCCCATCTTCCTTCCACAGAGCAGCCAGTGGCTTTGAACTGCCAACCTTCTGGTTAGCAGTCAAATGCTTTGGGCACTATGCCACCAGAGCTCCTTAGAAGAAACGCTAGGTAAGATGAATAACTCCTGTTCCTCAAATAACATTTTAGCAATTAAATTACTACATGTTTGTTTTGTCCTGAGCGGTCAGGGCAGAGCAAGTACCAGCATCACTGTCCTTGACAGTCTGCCTCTGCCAGCTACCATACCAATGGCACCAAGAACATGCCTGAGGGCTGGGAGGGATCAGAGCTCCTGTAGGGCTTCTCCTCTATCTATACCTCACTGAGGAAGGACAGCTTGGAGAAGCCTTGGCAGACCAGAGTTCCAAACCTAGTTCAGCCATTTCCTAGTTCTGTGATGGTGGGAAAGTTACTTTGCCTTTCTGAGCTGCAGTTTCTTTATTAGAAAAACATACTAATAGTACTACCTACTTCACAAGGTGGTGGTGAGGATTAAATGAGATTATGCATATCTAGTTTGCCTCCCTCAGTGCCCAGCACACAGTGTGCACTTAGTAAGTGGCTGCTCTTAGAAACACAGCCTGGAGAGGGCTATTGGGACTCTGGGGCAGGGAATGGAAAACAAGCCCCTTCCATTCTGTCTCCATCTGAGCTCTGCACTGGTTTTGCCTGATGCCTGGCTGATTCTAAATACCTCAACAAGATTCTCCAGCCCCCCTCCTGAGGTTTTCTAGGAGAACAAGGGATCTTCTCTAGTCACTACTGGCCTAAGGCAACAGGAACCTGGCTCCTTGGGGAAGGAAGACGGCCTGGAATCCCTGCCCTGTCTGTGAGGGCTCCCTTGGGTAGAGCAGAGGTTATTATAAACACTGAGGGAGTCTCCTGTCTCTTTTGTTCGTTCCCCTCATGGCGACCTTTTGCTGATAGAAATGTTCCCTGCTCCTGTGCCATCATCATGATCCCTGGGATATGAGTCCCATTGTTGCAGCTATTGTCTAACCTCTGTTGTTCTTAGGTTCTGTCAAGTCGATTTCATTCATAGTGCCCCCGTGTGATGAGTAGAACTGTCCCTATCTGCTGCACTCTGGATGAGAGCAGACTGCTAGGTCTTTCTTCTGCAGAGCCTTTGAACCACTGACCTTTCAGTTAGTAGCCAAGTGCTTAAAGGTTACACCACATGGCTATTTGGCCTGCAAAATGTTTTGGACACATTTGAATTAGTTGCTAAGATTCAGAAACCAGGACCTTTCCACTTGACACTTGTGTCCACACTTCTGCCCTGGCAACAAGCAACTGGACTGGGAATCAGCACCCCCTGCAGGTGGGCATGAGCATTGCAGTCCTTGCCATGGCTATAGGGTTTTACCTGAATGAGAGCCAGGATGTTCTCTTGCCCTCATCCTTACCACGCTCCACCACTCATCCTGGGCTCTTTGTTGACCTTCTAACACAATCCCACCTTCAAAACTTTGCACTGGTCCTTCTGCCTGAAATGCTCCCAGGTTTAACCTCTTTCAACCTTTAAATGTTACCTCTTCAAGGAACTGTTCAAGAAATTCTATCCTGTCTTCTTCCAACCCTCTCTACTCCTTTTACCCTCTTAACACATGACCTTCTATTAATATATTCTAATTTACATTTTTATAATTTTTTTACATATTATAATTTACTTATTTATATTTATGATCTCTCTTCCCCAATCCCAATCCTAAATTCCTTAAAAAAAAAAAAAAAAAAAAACTCACTGCCATCAAGTCACTTCTGACTCATAGCAAAGCCCATTGGTTTCCAAGGCTGTAAATCTTTACAGAAGTAGAGTGCCTAGTCTTCCTACTGTGGAGCAGCTGGTGGGTTTGAACTGCTGACCTTCTGGTTAGCAGTCAAGTGCTTTATCCACTATGCCACCAAACCTCCTTCCTAAATTCCTAAAAGCAGTCATATTTCGTGAGTATATAAATTTCTAGGAAAAATCATGGCTTTGATCAATTTTCAAAGAGTTTTGTGGTTCAAAGGCCATCAAAAACAAACAAACAAAATCTCCAAGGATTAAAGTTCCTTGGGAAAAAAAACAAAAAAAACCCACTGTTCCTGTCTTCAAAGAGTCTTTCCGAGATACAGCAACAGAACCAAATACATTTGCCCTTGGTTTCTTCCAATTTCCTCTTGATCTATCAGTCATTCTGGTTTTGCCTGATTGGGCAGTGTTGGGGGTCCCCCTCCTAGGAGAGCCCCACAGGTCCTCTCCCCTGGTCTCAGGAGCCCTTGCAGGCTGGCAGGGCAGCAGCTTCCAGACTCCCTGAGCCAGCGTCCCCAGCAGCGGAAAGCCGTAGCACAGAGAGGAGAGAGACGGAGGGATTTACCACACAAGTGGGCACTGTATGTGGAGTAAGTGCTGGGAGGAACAAGAACAGCAGTAAATACAGAACAGAAAATAACAATCTTTGAAATGACAACAAACGGGAAACATTATCTAAGCATTAACACCTAAGGAGGCTGCTCCCCGGGCTCTGATGGGCAGCTCTTCAAGAGAGAGAGGCCGACATCTTTCCAGGCTGCCTGGTCTTCAGTCCTTGTAACTTTTCATCTTTTAGCGCCTTCAAAAATTTATCTGCAAGAGAGCAAAACAAAGCTAGCTATAGTTGAGATAAGAGCTTTTTCTGGCACTTCCAAAGCATGAGGTCTGGGAATTTTTTGTGCTCCCTACATGAGCCCCAAACCCATTTGTGATCCAAGTTGGGAGAGAGAAAAAGAAAAAAAAAAAAAAAGCCGTAAGAGCTAAAACACAGTTAGCTAGAGAATATATAATTTAAAAATCCAGGTCTTAGAAAAGTCCATGTTTCTAGGGATTGGTTTCTTTCCACGGCTATGGGGATAATGAATCGAGGACCACGCAGACTCAAGCATTTGGAATGATTCATCTTTCCCTACCTGTGTGGCACTTAGCACCTATGGCAATTAGTTATAAATTGCTGAATGACCTCTCACAGTTGGTGATGTTCATTGATACTCCCACCCCACCCCCAACCAAGTGGTGCCCAGGGCATGTGCCACACCTGCCATAGCTCAGATAGACCTCTGGTGACATGGGGCCACTTTAACCTGATTTATACAAAAGTGGAATGTTTCCATCTATTTAGACAGCTGATCTTCGACAAAGGGCCAAAACCCATGACATGGTTTAACAAATGCTGCTGGCAAAATTGGAAACAATAGTGGGAGTGTTGTTTCTAGAAGCACCTGCAGTTCTCCAGTGGTCAAGTACAAGCTTTGTCCAGAAGAGCTGATGGGAGAAACAAAGCCTGCAGGGCAGCCTGTGGCTGTGGTGCAACCAACAGGTCCTTCTGGGAGTAGAAATGGATTTAACAACTTTGGCCTCCAACACAGAGGAAGCAGTCAGCTTGCTAGAGAAGTCCCGCTCACATCCCTACACCACAGCAGGTTTGCCCTGGTCCAGATCCCTAAGACTTAAAGCTTATGATCAGATGGCTAGTCCAAGACTCTGGCTGAGGGCTTCCAGGGCCAGGTTCACAGGAAGCTGCCCTCCAGCATCCAGAAGTGGGATGTACCAAAGGTGCTCAATGAATGCCCAGGGGCATTCCCGGCCTTGTACTTCCCACAGCTTCCTATGAACATTCAAAAATGCTCACCTACTTCCCTCTCCCCAGTTTAAGACAAATGCTAACCCTCTGGCCTCTGGCAATAAGGACTGTCTATGGAGCTCTGGTAGCGCAGTGCCTAAGGCACTTGACTGCTTACCAGGTTGGCGGTTCAAACCCACCAGCCACTCCTCAGAAGGAAGGTTGGGCAATCTACTTCCATAGTGATACCACCTCTAAACAGCACATAACAACAACATGGTGGGTGGGAAATATTCCAGAGTACAAAGGTGGGGGGAGTACTGGGCTAGAGGCTTAAAGTTCAGGATGGGGTGGTGGGGGATGTAATTCCAGGTCTGGGGGCTCAGAGCCTAGCTTATTGAGAGAAGAGGTTCAGGATTAACAGAGGATGGCATTTGGGACTGAAGGATTCACCAAGTCCAGATTTGTGGGAATGGAAAGTGTCCGTTGAAATCTAGGATGGAGTCCGGGTTCGGGGGGCATGAATTTGATATCTGGGACTCCTCGAGGCTGGAGTCTGAGTCCAGAGCCACATTCTGGGGCGGGGCATGGAAGCAGGGAAGGAGCCAGGGCCGGCTAAGAGTGGGCCAAGAGGCCTGGGAGGTCACGCACAGTGCTGAGAGTCGAAGCCATCCCCAGTGATGGTGAGCAGCTCCAGCTCCTTGATGCGGATCTCCAGCTCGCACAGCTCCTCGGGGTGGGAGGCGGAGGCAAGCCGGGGGATTGAGGCACCAGCTGCCAAGGGCGAGGCGGCTGCCTCCGTCCCCGTCGGTGGCGAGTAGAAGAAGCGCAGAGGCTCGTAGGGTATGGAGGCCAGGCCAGAGGGCCAGGGAGGGGGACAGGGGCGCTCGCTGGGGGGACCCAGGCCCGGCGGCGGCGGCAGGAGTGCCTGGGCTGGGGGCGCCTGCGGCAAAGGCCGGCCCCCCGCCGCCCCACTAGCCGGCGTCCCGCCTGCCTTCAGCGGCACGAAAAGCTTCTTCCAGATGTTGAAGTCGCTGAGCGGGGAGGAGGGGATGCCGCGGTCGTACAGCGACGGGAAGTAGAGGGGTGGGGCCGTCCGCTGGCTCATCTTGGGGCTCTGGCTACCGCGCCGCCCCTTCGGCATCTTTTGAATGGGAGGCTGCGTGGGAGGAACCCCGCGCCGGGAGACTCGTGCCCCTGCCTGGAGTTGACTAGGTTCTGAAGTTCCACAAGCCACGCCCCAGGGAGCGCGGCTCTGCCCCTTTAGCCTCAAGCCCCGCCCTGAACAGGTGGGGTTCTAGGTGATAAGCCACACCTCAGAAGGTGGCCCCGCCCATTGACAGCGGGCCGCTGGTCTGAAGTGCGGAAAGCCACACCCAGCGGAGTGGCTGGATTCGGAAGGCCCACAGTGACCCCAATCCCTCTGTTTTTTCTCAGCCCCGCAAAGGTACAGGGTTATGAGTCGAAATAGACTGGATGGCAGTGGGATTGGTCTGCCGTGCCTTAGGCGGCTCTCTCAGCGCCGCCCCTCACCTTGGCTCCTTCCACTGCCCTAAATTCCACAGACCAAGTCGTGGCCCTGGGTGCTGAGGCCTGCTAGATGGCGAAAGTTCTCAGTTCTGGAGTCACAAAGGACGGATTCTCCCTAGATGCCCCGCCGCGCCCCCTCGGAAAGGCAGCGCGTTAGTGAGGCCGAGCATCAGCACCAGTCGGATGTGCAGCCATCGCACGTGACCTTTTGCTTCCTTGCCTCACCTGTAACCCTCGCCTCTACTCAGACTAGTCCCTGACGGAAATGCCCCTTTCATTCTGTAAGCCAAGCCCTGACCCTTCCTACAAGCCAAGCGCCTCCCTGAAGCCCTTCATAACTCACCCACTTAGCCTCACTTCCTGCCCTCCCGTTGTCCACTGGGGAAACCTCCATCACTGTAATTGCTCCCAGTTTCAAAATAATTCATCGGCCTTCCTATGTCCTTCTCTAGACTCTAAACTCTTTGAAGGCATGACCCTTGCTTTGTGTTTGTGTATCCTACAAATTGAATCCAACATCTGCTGTGACCAGGACTGATAGTGGTAGGGACTAGGGATATAGGGGACAACAGTGCCTACAACATAGTTGGAACTCTTTGGCAAGTAACTGAACTATACTCCAACTAGTTTAATAATAATAATAATAGGACACAGAAGTAATTCAAAAAATCCTAAGAAACATTTAATGATGGGAATTGAGGTACCATCCCTGCCTTAAAGGACTTCTCCTTCTTTATTAATGAAATCCAGCCTCCTGCGTCTCCAGGCTCTATTTCTCAGCATAAATTGTTGAGCATTCTGTGGCAGAGACAATGCTATGTGTGCATGGAAGCATTTTTGAAACAGGCAGGGGACATGTAGGCTGGAAGAATAGACTTAGCTGAAGTTAGTAGAAAACCCAAAAATCAAGGTTAGAAAAGGGCATGAATCCCGTTGGCAAAGTTTTGTAGCTGCTGTTCTTTTGAAGTTAACATTTCCTGAAGTTGTTTTTCCCAGGTTGGAAACTTACCATGAAGAATGTGCAGAGATGAGCTTGTGCACCCCCAGCTTCACTCCATCCCATAATAAATAAGTTCAGCTCTAGGAACGAAAAAACTTTGACCAAGAAACTAAAATAAGGGAAGTGACAAAAACTGCATTGATTTCCAAATGGACCCCTAAGAGATACAAGGAGTCCATCATCAGCTTCCTTGCTAAGATCTGACCTGGCCCCCTCATGTGTATGTAGCTGATTTCTCAGAATTTTAATGAATATGTATAATTTCCTCGTTTTGCTTAAACATAAAAGCTCCCTGAGCCCTCAACTTGGGCAGGGGGGGGCAGTTTTGAGAAATTATTCTTTTCTTGCTGCAAGAAATAAAATCCAACTTATTATTCAGCTTATTGCTTTCACGCTTGTTTGAGTTAAAGGGGACAACTCATTACATTCAGTTATATTTTCTTATCAGCCACAGAGTTGTTGTTGTTAACACAAACAACAACACAACACACTGCCATGGAGTTGGATCTAACTCACAGCGACCCCTCCTTGAGTTTCCCAGGCAGTACTGAAACCAAGTAAACTCAAAACTATTTCCCTCCATCCTGGTTAAAACAGATGATTAGAACAGATAGGACCCTGGATAGGAATAGATAAGTAAACTTAATTACCCTCAACTATTTCCCCACCCGGGTTAAGACTAATAGGAACCGGGTTGGAAATAGATGAGTAAATACGATAAGATCAGTTCCTTAAGAACTGAATGGAACCAAAAACATTCTTTCCTGCTATTTTCTTAGGCACAGGTGACAAACGCATTCATGTGTCTTAGAAAACAACTTGAAAATTAACTCTGGCCCATGGACATGTGCAGTGGGACACAGAGGAACAAAGTTACTGGGAACTAACACTCTCCGCTCTTCCTAAGCCCCAATCAGCTGATGACAGGAAGCCGGTGTGACTTATCCGATACACAATCGCACTGGATTAAAATGCTACTGTCCCTTTAAACTGAGGCAAAAGAAATTTCAGCCAATTGTCAACCATCTCACACCCAAATTCCTGAAATTTTTATAAATATGCATAACCCTCTTTTCTGAAACCCACAAAACTGTAATTCAACGGAGTTACAGGGAGCCAGATCTGGGTACAGGTGCCCCTGCCTCCTTGCATTGCTGCTTTGCAATAAATAATTTTCTCTCCTCTTAATCACTTGGTATGTAAACTGTTTTGGCCTAACTATGCACCGGGCAGGGACCTACCTGCGTTTGGTCCTATTTCAATTTTTTTTTTCCTCTCTCTGCCTTTTCTCTCTCACAGAAACTCCCAGCTTTTCTCTGCCCAGTGAAGCATGTCTCACTGTGGCTGCTGCCAATTCAGGAACCTCATCTGAAACCAAAATAAAATCGATAAAATTAACTTTGTCAGAATATTTTTTTAACAGCATAAACTTTCAAGCTCTTCTTTCCCAATACTCAAAGACCTTGCAGACCATGTATTAAGATCAAAGCCTGGGATCCTGAATACATGCAGCTGAAATAGGACCAAACGTGGGTTCCTGCCTGGTGCGCAGTCAGGCCAAAACAGTTTACACACCGAGTGATTAAGAGGAGAGAAAATTACTTATTGCAAAGCAGCAATGCAAGGAGGCAGTGGTCCATACCTAGATCTGACTCCCCAAATTCCATCGAATTAACAGTTTTTATAGGTTTCAGGAGAGAGTATTATGCATATTCATAAAAATTTCAGGAATTTGGGTATGAGATGGTTGACGACTGGCTGAAATTTCCTTTGCCTCGGTTTAAAGGGACAGTAGTATTTTAATCCAGTGCGCTTGTGTACCAGATGAGTCACACCGGCTTCCTGTCATCAGCTGATCAGTGCTTAGGAAGAGGGGAGAGTGTTAGTTCCCAGTAACTTTGTTCCTCTCTGTCCCACTGCACGTGTCCATGGGCCAGAGTCAATTTTCAAGTTGTTTTCTAAGACACATTAACGTGTTTATCAACTGTGCCTAAGGAAATAGCAGGAAAGAATGTTTTTTGCTCCATTCACTTCTTAAGGAACTGAGCTTATTGTGTTTACTCATCTGTCTTCACCAGGGTAGGGAAGTGTTGTTGTTGTTGTTAAGTGCCGTCGAGTCATTTCCGACTCATAGCGACCCCATGCACAGCAGAACGAAACAATGCCCGATCCCGCGCCAGCCCCACAATCCCTGCTATACTCGAGCCCATCATCGCAGCCACTGTATCAATCCATCTCCCTGAAGGCCTCCCCCTCTTTCGTCGACCCTCCACCCTACCAAGCATGACATCCTTCTCCAGGGAATGGTCCCTTCTTACAACATGACCAAAATA